ACTCTAGGTACCTGATATAAATCGAATTATACAGTACTTGTCTTTTTGTGACTGACTTTTTTAACTTAGCATAGTGTCTTTATGATTCATCCATGTTGTAGCATGTTGTCAGAATTCCCTTCCTTTTTCAGGCTTAATAATATTTCATTGTCTGTATATACCACTTTTTGTTTATCCTCTCATCTGTCAATGGATACTTGTATTGCTTCCACCTTTTGGCTATTGTGAATAATGCTGTTATGAACTTGGGTGTACAAATACTTGTTCAAGTCTTTACTTGCAACATTTTGTTTTTGCGATTGTGCAGGTTAAAGTGACCTAGGTCAGTGGAGTGAAATCCTGAGATGCTTACAAGGGAGATAGACTTGAACTTAAAGGATTTTTCCATTGGTCCCTTTGATATGTGAGGGGCTGATTAGTGGAGTTCTGACAAGAGTTATGGTTTTAGGTAGCAAATATAGGTATGTTGGATAGTTACGAGGATTCAGTGAGAATAATGTACTTTAAATGCTTTTCATAATGCCTAGCATCTAGCAGGCACCTAATAAATATTACCTCCCTTGTCTTTTATGACCATTGCATTTCTCCCTTTGAAAAGAGATGAATGCAGTTTAGAGGAGGTGATTTCTGAAGTTAAATTTCTCTTTTTAAGGTATCAGGTAGAGGGCTGTAGAAGAGAGGAAGGTTTGAGATACTTTGTGTGAGCTTCTAGCAACAATTATTACATTGTAGTTGTTGTCCCTGAGCAGAAAGGTATGATGAGCTGCTCTATATGATGTGTCTGTCTGGCATGGGTGTTTTAGGGCAGCTCACTCCTGGGGCTGTGGAGAGTGGGGGCAGATGAGAATTGTCTTTTAAGGCCTAGAAGATCTCTACCACCAAGCTTGTCCTCATCTGAAAGGATTACTCTCTGCAATAAGCTGTGCCATTCTGTTCTGTGGGGATGAGCAGCTATTGCTCACCTAATGTGCAGAACTGTTTACACAGTATTGATTTTCTATAACATAGGCCCTTCTTTGGAATCTCTTAGACTAAGGGTCAAGTCTTTGGTGGGGAAGAGCTTGTTAAGCCTCTTCATCCTTGTTTCCTTTTTAAAACTATTATTTAAGAATTGGGGGGGCTGGCCCTATGGCCAGGTGGTTAAGTTCACGTGCTCTGCTTCGGCGGCCCAGGGTTTCACCGGTTCATATCCTTGTCAAGCCATGCTGAGGCGGCTTCCCACATGCCACAACTAGAAGGACCCACAACTAAAAATACACAACTATGTACCTGGGGGCTTTGGGGAGAAAAAGGAAAAATAAAATCTTTAAAAAGGAATTGGAAACATGATAAACAAAAGGATTAAATTGAAAAGAAAAGTACATCCTGCCCCTCTTAACTGCACAATGACTACAATATGTATTGTACTTGATACCAAACTCTTATAGACGTATGACTAATTAACAATACTATGTTTATACAACCATCCCCTTATCTTTTATAGTTATCTTAGTTCTTCCTTTTATATACTTCTCTCTGTGTATTCCTCTGACTGTCCTTGGAACAATTTGGCTGGTCATGTGCCCAGATGGCACCAATTGGACAAGTGGATCAAGGACAGTTTTCAAAAAATGTGTGTGTGTGGAGAGTGAACCAGAAGCCAGCCAGCATGAGCTCTGTGCTACTTGTGTGTTGGCATCCTGAGTGCCACTTCTCTACTGTCCTTGGACCTGCCCCTGACACAAGGCTGTTCTCTTCTTGGGCCTGCATTTAAACTCTGTGCATAGCTCTCTACCATAATAGCTTATGAATAAGCCTGGCTATGAATCGTTTATACTCAGGTTTTTTTGTTTTGATTCTGATTTTGCATTAAAAAAAGGAGATCTTGGCTCCCTTTAAAGTCCAGATCCAATCATATTCCATGTCCAGTGCATAATCTTGGAGGCAAGCCTGGGTGAGGGAAATAGGAGCAGTTTTAGTTGACAGTTATGTGCTGGTTTTTATGTGTGTGTGTGTTTTTTTTAAATAGATATTAGAGAGGAAGCAGAAACAGAGGGGGAGAGAGAGGTGTATGAGAGATGAGATGTAAAGAGATATGAGAGCAGATATAGAGGGCTTGCTGAGGCTGTTTATGGTAAGAAAAGCTACTTGAGAGTCTTAGTGTTAAGAGTAGTAGAAAGATAATAATGAGGTATTAAACACCTGCACTCTAACAAGTAGCTGAGGATCAAGAGAAAGAGGGGACCAAATACATGAAAATAACCTGGAGCAGCCAGTAGGTGGAGAGTGTTATAAACCAGTCTAGACAAGTGTTGGTAGCATGTCTAATTAGGCACACCATTTATATGTAAGCTTCCCGCCCTTTAACATTCAACTCCATCTGGTACCTTTGTTTGACCTTATCTTAATGGAAAGAACACTAAACAGGAGACCAGTTCTAATCCCAGTTTAGTCACTAACTAGTTGGGGTGGTGGGGGATGGGGGTGTTTTCCTAATCCCAAAATGAGGGAATTGGATTAAATGACCTCTCGGGTCCTTTCTAGCTCTAAAAATCGATAATCAGCTGTTTGAAACCCCACAGACTTAGAACTCCCATCACATAAGGTCAGAGAGTAGAAGACAATGTGTGTGTAGTGACGTATAGGACACTGAACAGTTGATAGAATGAGTGTAAAATCAGGGACATGATGAAGGAAAAAAGCATTATTGCATGGGATTTTTGGGATATTCCCTTTTGAGGAGGAATTGTGGTCCTTGATGTCAGAGGCTTGTGGGAGCCAATTTTAAGGCTGAGGCTGCTTTGTTCATTTTAGCTGCCTGTTAAATTCCCTCTAGAGAATGACTACTTAGGTGAGAAAACCTCAGCTTTTTTGGGGGGGGGGGGGGGTTGTGGGCCATCTGACCTGAATTATCAGGGGCAGAATGCAGGTCCCCCCGGCATTGATTCTCAGAGTATTGCAGTGCTGGACTCTTCTCAGTACTCTTCGGCTCTGCTGATGTCTGTGTCAGTTGGGACACAGGTTGCCTCTTGGCCTGTGCCAGAATTGCTCTCTTCCACCCTTCGTATTTGTCTCTTTGTCATCCCTGAGTCTGAATCCCAGAGATCAAGACTAGCTGTAGTCCAGCAGAGGAGCAATAAATCATTGCTTCCACATCTTTTTCTCCAGGTTTTCTGCCCCTTAATTACCACATAACCACTACTGAGGCTGCATCTTTGTGCTGTGTGTGCTGGGGACAAAAGCCCTTATTGATTGGATGTCTGCAAAAGCTGCTTTGTCTCTTTCTGGCCATTATGTTTTACTGAGTGCCATGTGTGCAACTCATCCTTTTCTCTTATCTCCTGTGAGTTTATAGAGTCTGATTGTCAGATGATTTATCCGTTAACAGGGCTTGTCTAATCTCTGGGGTTAGGGGGTGGAGTGGGCAGCCCTTAAATAACTCAGCAAGATGGTCTTCATTAAGGAGGGAGGTTTCGGGTTGCTTAGTCATTTTTATGTGGATTTTAGCTAGTCCTCTTCATTCTCTGAGCTCCTGGTGGAAGCTAAGCAGGTTGTGTGATCCAGAATGGGCTCCCATGGAACTTTTTTTCGGTCCAGTCCAACAGATCACTTGTTAACAGACAACATCAAAAAGGCCAGCTGCCTGTCATTTGCCTTTCCATTATGAAACCTCAGAGAACTTGAGTCTGGGCAGGGGTGAAGAATTCGTAAATGAGGATGCCTACTGCCTTCATCCCTATCAAGGCTTTTTTGCTATTTGAGGGGAAGATTCAGGTTTTAGAAACAGAATGTAGACGGGCTCTTATACTTTTCCTTGCCTGCTGTTTCTTTGCTGTACCTGTGCTTTTAGAGGATTGAGAGTGAGGAGTGTTGTGTGGCAGCCAGCAAGTGTATGGAGAGTTACTCCTGCTCATCGTTCCCTGCTGTTTCAAATCAAAGCTCACGTCTCTTTTCTAAGAGTAGTAAGCTTCACACAAAGCTCAGACAGCATGGGAGAATGGAATTCTTTGCTGGCAAAGAAGAAGATAGGGTCTTAGAAAAGGTGAAGTCGAGCCTTTTTTTGTCATGGAAGTGCAGAGGGTTGAGGTGGGGGAAGCAGAAGGACTACTGATTGTTTGCAGCTGCTGAACCCTTCTTTATAGTTTCCCATCAAGTAGGGGAGCTAGACACAGGAGCAATAGTCAGGATGGGCACGGAAGCAGGATTCATTTCATGGTCTTGGGTAGAAGAGTTCAAGGCAACTAATAATTTCTTTTATTCTTAATATTTATTTGCAATAATATGTTTAAAGCTGAAGTGCTAACCTAGGGACTTGGTCGTCAGTCTATTTACTGAGATTGCTTTGGTTTTCTCTTCCCTCATTAAGAATTGCCAGGCAGAAAGGGGACCTTTTCGGTAAATGTTGTCACGGATGAGAGAGGACAGAGCAAGCTGCACTTTTGTTTGAATGGTTAGAACAGTTAAGGCCTTTTTTTTCTCTTCATGAGCTCTCTTTCCATCCAGAGCTGAAGCCGAGCTGTGGGTTCTACAGTATAGCTGGCACATCGGGTGACCAGTTAGAACTGAAAGAGGTCCCTCTTAGCAATGATATTTGAAACAGATACATAGCTAAAATTTGGTGACATGAGATGCTAGCAGCCTAGAGTGAGAGGGGGATCCTCATTTTGACCTGTATTGAACAAATTTGGTGGGGAAGTCACCATGCAGGAGTAAACTGGGAACACGAAGATATCCGTTTTATAGTCAAATTTCTGAGCTTAATTGCTATTTAAGAAGTGGCAAAAAGAAATAGATTTTTAAAAACCTTCTATTGGCAGATAAGCAGACACCTGCTTGGGAAGGTCAGTGCTTTCTTCAAATATACCTCCTTTACCTGCTTTTAAAAAGTCCTTAGTAGCTGTGATTTACTCCTTCTAGCCCTATTTGGGTTTCTGTATAGCTAGTCTATTTTCATTGCTTTCATTTAACTTTATTGATTATACTTTGAATACTTGCTGATGTCTTTTCTTTTTCTTTTTAAGCCTTGATAAATTTGCTGAAGTTCCTTATGTCAAATGAGACCGTACTTTTGGCCAAACACAACATTTTTACTTTAGCCCTTATGGTGAGTAACAAAAAATATTTATTTTTCTCAAGCAGTACACTAAGGCAGAGATGGTCCAGTTTGAAACAGGAGCTGGTGATCTGGGGACTAAGCCATAGGAGGAACTGGGCCTTTATTTTTCTTTTATATCAGAATCTCTTGACCAGTGCTTCCCACTCTCACCTATGTCTTTGGTGAACTTGGGACTCCTTCGCTTTCTTGAGGGTGTATTGTCTGGCAATGGCAGGTGTGGGTCAGATCTCTGTGTATGAATAGTAAGCCATGATCCCAGCTGAGAGACTGTGCTAGAATACTATAGTCTCTATGTTGGTACATAGCAAAGCCCCTAGAGGTATCCTAGCCAGATGAGTGGTTCCATCATGGCTGCACATTGGTTTCTGAGGGACGTTACAGATGCCTGCTTATCAGACTGGTTATTTGGGGTAGAAGGAGGCATTGTGCCTTTTGACTGTCTTATCAGGATATTACCCAGTGTGTTCGTAAGTGTTTAACATTTGGGGGGAAAAAGCCCTGATTTGTGGTATTTGCTGATTTCCATGGTAAAACTACACCTGCTATGGCCAGTTTCAAGCTATCAACATGACATCATTGAATGCAGAGTTGGAAAGAGATGAGTGGTAACACACCGTTATATGATATTCCCACCACACAGATGTAAAATGTGTAAATTAATCTCAAGAGCATAGATAATAGTAAAAGCTAGAAAATAATTAGGAAGTGATGAGTTTTGAGTATTACTTTCATTTTAGTATAATTTATTGAATTTTAAGTTTATATAAGTTAATTTTTAATAATGGCTTTGACAGCTGGCTTACAAAATTCCTGAAAATTTAATGATCAGCTCTTGCAAACCAATGAGAGCTATCTATAACACACCATTGACAATAGCCTTTTGGTCTTCATATCGTGATGCCTTATATGGGCTTTTGATTCTTTTTTAGATTGTGAACCTATTTAATATGTTTATCACATATGGCGACACATTCCTGCCCACCCCCAGCAGCTATGATGAACTTTACTATGAGATTATCCGCATGCACCAGAGCTTTGACAACCTCTACTCCATGGGTAAGCTGTCTTTCTTTTTACTCCTCTCTCCCCATCAGCTGTGATTTTTGGCATATAGGAGGAAAAGACTACAAAGGTTACCTCTTGGTGTAGAAATTTAGTAGTCTTGGTGCCCTTGCTTGGCGTAGAAATTTAGTGGTCTTCTCTTCTCAGGCAACAGAAAGGTATATGTGGTCTTCTTTGCTTTCAAGAACTCAGAATTCATCTCAGTAGAAAGCTAGTTAGCAGCACTGTAGCCCTTTCTTGATGTTTGTGAGCAAGAGAGAGAATAGGGAGGCTTGTGGATGTGGTGAATGCCAATGAGATGAGTGAAAGAGTGGGTGGGAATTGACAACTGCAAATACAAGAGCTTGGATCCCAAAGGAACATTTTGTGATTTGAGATGGTATAGGATTTTAAGAAGTTTTAATATATCTATGTATGTTTAGCATAACTTACAAGAAGAAGTGGGCATTAAATAAAAATCTTTCTTGCAAACCTTTTTGGTAATTGGCTCACTGAAAATTTACTCTGCAGCCGTAGTGAGTATAACTTATTTCCGAAAGAGGTTGTATATCCCCGTAAGTTGGATTGAAGAGTTTAGTCAAACCTACTTGGAGTTTGAAAGGTCAGGTAAGATTTCTGTAGACTGCACAGTAACAGAAAGCCACTCAGCAAAGCTGTCTATTAAAAAATCCAACTTATTATCTTCATTGAGGTGTAATTGATATATAATAAACTGCACTCGTTTAAAATATACAGTTTTTGATAAGTTTTGACATACGTATATGTATGTGAAGCCATCACTACAGTCAAGATAATGAACATATCCGTCACTTCCCAAAAGTTTACTTGTATCCCTTTATGTCCCTCTTACCACCTCTATCCCTTGCCCTCCATCTCTGGGCAACCACTATCTGCTTTCTGTGACTATAGATGAGTTTGCTTTATCCCTTTTGTTGAGACTATTTTTGAAAACTATGTCTTCTGCTTGGGCCTCCTATATCATGAGAAAAGTAGAGGGTATTTGGAACAAGGACCAGGAGAAAGAATAGAAGCAAACAGTGGAAAAGAAGGATTGCCTAAGGAGAAATTTTTTTTTCTAATAGACTATATTTTTTAGAGCAGTAAAGGAAAACTTTTGAGAGAGCCATATATAGCTTTGCTGTGATGTCTTGGGTGCTGGGAGTAGGGCCTTGTGTTAGTAGGATGTTTTCAACTGCCAAGTATCAAAAAACTCTGACTTTAAACTATCTTAAATAATAGGACAATTAATTTACTTTACAAGAATTGTAAGGAATGACAGTTCCAGAATTGATTGCTTAAAAATGTTTGCAAGGACCCAGGTTTTTTTCTGTCTCTGCTCTTTCATTCTCAGTGTAATAGCTTTTTAGCATCAGGTCAGCTCCCCTCAGAATAGCAAGTTCCAGTTGTCACATCAAGACACAGGTCTCTTTTTTTAGGAGATAGGAGGCCTTCCATGGGAGCCCTCTAGCCAACTTCCTGTTGGCCAAATGTGCTTAGTGTGCACTGTGTGGTTTGCATCTACGTGGTTTTACTAATGTCCTTGTTTTGTAGACTGTAGAATTTTCTGAGGGTGAAGAGCTGCCCCCAGAGGCTTTACTACCCATTAATGATTAATAAAGATGTCATTCAATGAGAAAAGGAAAGAGAGTTGGAGTGGGGGAGATATTTTGTAGAAGTCTGACACACATGCTTGTACAAGCCTGTGGGCCATGTACACAGTCTAAAGAGATAAGGCCTTGTAGCTACAGCAGCAAGATTAGAGAGGATATCTGGAAATGCTCAAATCGGCCAAGGGAATTAAAGTGTTAACCAGGAGAGCACAAGTAGGAAAGTGAAAAATTTTACCGAATGACACACAACAAACAGTAGGAGATGGCATGTTGCAGTGCTCTCCCTTTTGTATAAAGTATGATGAAACTTCTGGTGGAAAAAAGCATTTTTTTAAGTCAAGTTTTTGGAAGTTTAATTTACATAAATAGTAAAATCCACTCTTTTTAATGTACAGTTCTGAGTTTTGACAAGTGCATCACAAAAAATCAAGATATAGAAGAGTTTCATCATCTCAGAAATTTTTGTTGTGCTCCTGTGAGGTGAACTCCTGCACTTACCTTCAACCCCTAGCAACCAGTGATGTGTTACCTGTCCCCATAGTTTTGCTTTTTCTGAAAATATATGTATAGATGGGATCATATAGTCTTTTGAGTCTGGCTTCTTTTACATAATAATTCACTTGAAATTCATCCATGTTGATGTGTGTATCAGTAGTTTGTTCCTTTTTATTAATGAATAATATTCCATTTTAGGAATATGCCAGCTTAATTTATCCATTTATCAGTTGAAGGACATTTGGGAGGTTTCCAGTTTTTATCAATTATAAATAACGCTGTTGTAAACCTTCTTGTACAGGGTTTTACCTGAAAACAAGTTTTCATTTCTCTTGGTTAGATACCTATGAATGAGATTTTTGGGTATTGTGGTAAGTATATATTTAACTTTATAAAAAGCCACCCAACTGTTTTCCAAAGTGGATGTACTATTTTACATTCCCTTTAGCAGTATGCAAGAGTTGTAGTTGCTCCATATCCTAGCCAGACCTTTTTATTTTGGTTTCTTGTAGGTGTGTAGGGATATTTCATTATGGTTGTAATTTACATTTCCCTGATGAATAATGATGTTGAACATCTTTTCCTCTTCTTATTTAACATCCACATATCTTCTCTGGTGAAGTGTTTGTTCGGATCTTTTGCCCATTAAAGACAAATATCGCAGAGGCCTGGCCCCATGGCCGAGTTGTTAAGTTTGCACGCTGTGCGTCAGTGGCTCAGGGTTGTGCCAGTTTGGATCCTGAACATGGACATGGTCTGCTCATCAAGCCTTGCTGAGGTGGCATCCCACATAGCACAACCAGAAGGACCTATAACTAGAATATACAACTATGTACTGGGGGGCTTTGGGGAGAAGAAGAAGGAGGAGGAGGAGGGAGAGGGAGAGGGGGAGGAGGGAGAAGAAGCCGTTTCTGTGCTACTTTGGATCTGGTCCTCACATACACTACTCAAGGTTTCGTCAGAGACTTGGACTGTGGTTCAGATATCAGTTTAATTCTTAAAGCTTTTGCTTTCAGATTTGTGTCTGTTCCTTGCTTGCTCAGCTCAAGGGTGAGTCTGAGAGTTGCACAACTTTCATATGCAGAATTAGAGGAACGCCTTCTCATCTGTCTAGGATTCCCTCTGTGTTCTCTGATCCACAGAAGCCCCTTTTCCTGGTTTCTGTATACAGACAGATGAGATTTCTACTGAAGTTTTACCCATCTACCCAGCTCCTCCATCATGTATCTCTATGACTGTCTGACTCTTGAGGCAAACCTGCAAGAGAAAATAGGAAAAAAAGAAAACCTGGAAACCCACTTTTATAGTTGTTTCTCCAAGTTTTGACTCCTTTCTATAATCTGTCTGCTTTTGTTTAATTTTAAGGGCCCTCAGTGGTTACTTTCTGTATTTTATACAGGATTTTTAGCTGTAATCAACAGGAGAGAGAAGCCATAGTGGACTTATTCTGCCGTACTGGGAGTGGAACCTCACCTTCATTTTTTAAAGACATTTTTGCTAAATATAGAATTTTTCTTTCAACACCTGAAAAATATCATTTCATCATTTTCTGACTTGCATGGTTCCTAAGGAGAAGTCTGTTGTCATTCTTATCTTTATTTCTCTGTATATAATGTGGTTTTTTTTCTCTGGATGCTTTTACTATTTTCTTTTTATCACTGGCTTTTCACAGTTTGATTATCAGGTGCCTTAGCATGATTTCCTTTGTGTATATTTTGCTTGGGGCTCCTTGAGCTTCTTGGATCTGTGGGTTTCTAGTTTGTATCAAATGCGGACAATTTTTGGCACTTAATTTCTTTAGATATTTTTTATCCCCTCTCTTCTTTTCTTGTTTTAGAATTCTAGTTATATGTAAGTTAGACCTCTTGACAGTGTCCCATAGGTTATTAAAGCTCTGTGGGCTTTTCTCTTTCTTTCCATTTTTTTTGTCTTTTCTCTCTGTTTCGTTTTAGATAGTTTCTATTCCTCAGTCTTCAAATTCACTAATCTTTTTTTCTGTATTTTTTTAATATGCTGTTAATCTCATTAGTCTTGGTTAATTTTATCCACTGTGTTTTTCATTTCAGAAGGTTTTTTTCTTCTCTAGAAGTTCTTTTTTTTTCTAATTTTCTTTTTAAAAGATTGGCACCTGAGCTAACATCTGTTGCCAATCTTTTTTTTTTCCCTTATTCTCCCCAAAGCCTCCCAGCACATAGTTGTATATTCTAGTTGTAGATCCTTCTGTCTCTGCTATGTGGGATGCTGCCTCAGCATGGCTTAATGAGCAGTGCTAAGTCTGTGCCCAGGATCCAAACCTGTGAAACCCTGGGCCGCTGAAGCTGACTGCAAACCTTAACCACTTAGCCTTGGGGCAGGCCCCCTAGAAGTTCTATTTGGACATCTTTTTTAATATGTCCATTTCTTTCTACATCATGTTTATGTTTTCCTTAATCTTCCTGAACATATGGAGCATATTTACAATAGTTTTAATTTCCTTGTATGCTAATTCCATCATCTCACTTCATGTCTAGATCTGTTTCTATTTTTTCCCTGCTTAGGGGTCATGGTTTTCTGCCTTCTTTGAATGCCTGATAATTTTTAAACTGGATTTTGGACATTGTGATTTTAATATTGTGAGTGCTAGATTTTATGTTTATGTAATGTTGGATTTTGTTCTAGAATGTGGTTATGTTATGTGGAGTCAGTTTCATCCTTTCAGTTTGCTTTTAAGGGTTGTTAGGTCAGCTTGAGAGCAACCTTTAATATTGGCTAATCTGGCCCCATTACTAATTCAGTACCCGTCTGCAGACTCTACCTAACAACCCATATATTAGTAGATCTTTCCACTTTTGCTGGTGGAAACACAAATTATCTTATTTGTGGAGTCCTTGATGAGTTCCACAATATCTTCTCCTTTCCAGTGGTTCTTTGCCCCGAGCTGTAGGTAATTTTCTCTACCATATGTGCCAATGAATGCTCAGCAAAAGATGTAAGAGGACCCTCTTGAAACCTGCAGAGTTCTCTGTTGAACTTCCTCTTTTACAGTACTCTCCCCTACTAATTGTAGTTGCCTTGGCCTCTCCAAATGCTATCTCCAATCTCTATGTCTTCAGCTTGGTAAGACTTTCTGACTTCTGTTTAGATTTCTCCTCCCTGCCCTGCAGGCTGGAAACTTTATGCAGTAAGCTGGGGTAATTGTAGGTCTCACCTTGTTTGTTTTCCGTCTTCAGGGATCACAGTTCTGTATGCCTGTTGTACAGTGTCTCATAACTATTGTTTCATATATTTTGTCCAGTTTTATATTGTTAAAGGTAAGAGGGAAATTTTATTTTGTTATTCCATCATGGCTAGAAGAGGAAGACTCACTGAGACATTTTTGATAAAGGCACATTTTTTCTTTTTCTTTTTTTTTAAGGAAGATTAGCCCTGAGCTAACATCTGCTGCCAATCCTCCTCTTTTTGCTGAGGAAGACTGGCCCTGAGCTAACATCCATGCCCATCTACCTCCATTTTATGTGTGGGACGCCTGCCACAGTATGGCTTGATAAGCAGTACGTAGGTCTGAGCCTGGGGTTCGAACCTGCGAATCCCAGGCCACCAAAGCAAAATGTGTGAACTTAACCTCTGCGCCACCGGGCCGGCCCCTAAAGGGACATATTAATGTTCTTGTGGCATTAATTTACTGCAGTGAAGTTCACTGAATAGAAAGGACCTCCATAAGAGCTCCCCTGAACTATAAATGATACCATATTTTGAATTGTTTTTCATTAAAAAAATAAAGATAATTACCGATGCTAAAGAAAAAGCAAGGTTAGGGCTGGCCTGGTGGCACAGCGGTTAAGTTTGCACATTCCACTTGGCGGCTTGGGGTTCACTGGTTCGAATCCCGGGTGCGGACATGGCATTGCTTTGGCACGCCATGCTGTGGTAGGCGTCCCACGTATAAAGTAGAGGAAGATGGGCACAGATGTTAGCTCAGGGCCAGGCTTCCTCAGCAAAAAAGAGGAGGACTGGCAGTAGTTAGCCTAGGGCTAATCTTCCTCAAAAAAAGAAAAAAAAGAAAAGGAAAAGTGAAAGAAGATAAAAAATTTTACAATCTTTCCTTTCTATTACTACCACTGTTTTCATAGTCGTATATTAGCCTACATGTATGCATAGTTTTAATCATGCTGTCCTTCTATTTTGTGTTTTTTTAAACTATATATCATAAAACATTTTCCTACTTTTTTGTAAGTTTCTTAAGTCTCTGTCTTTTTTTTTTGCATAGTATAGGTATAGTTTATTTAGCAATTCTTTCTTTTCATGGAAATCATGGTTGTTTCCAGTTTTTGCTATTACTTGTCTCTTTTTTCCCCAAGATTTTATTTTTCCTTTTTCTTCCCAAAGCCCCCCGGTACATAGTTGTATATTTTTAGTTGTGGGTTCTTCTAGTTGTGGCATATGGGATGCTGCCTCAGCATGGCCTGATGAGTAGTGCCATGTCTATGCCCAGGATCCAAACTGGCGAACCCTGGGCCGCTGAAGCAGAGCACATGAACGTAACCACTCAGCCACGGGGCCAGCCCTTTAAGTGTCTTTTTTTTAATGGCTGCATAGTATGTTATTTTTGTGACAATAGTTTACTGCATAAATGATTACCTTAGTTTAAGGTTTTTAGGACATTTTGAAATCATTTTGTTTTTAAATTTGATAACTTAGGAAAAAATGTAAAAGCCTGTGATATTTCCAAAGAAAATGCAGTGATAAAGTCATCTGAGTGCCTGTTCATCAAGGAACAGAGCTGACAGGATGTTACTGAGAAGTAATTCATGGACAGAGTTAAATACCTCTCTGAAGTAAGGAGAGGAAAATTCAGCTCAATTCCATAAATGTTTAGGTCTTCACTGTCAGAGAAACTTATGATCTAGTGAAAAACAAACTCATCTAAATAGTTTTTGCAACTGAGTTGAAAAACATATGTCTGACCTGCTGAAACAATTTTGTTCATTACATCAATAAATTTGCACATACACTGGGTAAAACCTGAGCTCACATGGTAGAGCTCTAACTTGGAACTATACCAAGTTCCCCTGTACTAGATCTTGTAAATTAGAAAAGCAGTACTCTGATAATATGTTTTATTGAGGCTTCCATCTTTTTTTTCATAAAATTGCATGAATGTATAAAAATGAAGTATTGCTAGAAGAGACACAGAGCAGCCAGATGAGTTTTCTTTCCTTATTACAGCCATAGGCCCTCCTTCTGATAGAGCTGCTGCTGTTACTCTTCTTGCTGGAAAAACACTGGTCAAGAGTAGGTAGTGATGGTACTCAGATGTAAAATTCCTATGCAAATTAGTTATACATTTCTTAATGTTAATTAGGTTTTGCTTTCCTTCCTTTGGGAAAGTCTCAAGTACATTCATTCATTTGTTTGAGAGGTAGTCTATTTAAATTAATAATAGCTAATACTTACATAGCATTTACTATGTGCCAGGCACTGATCTAAGGCTTTATGTATGTTAACTTCTTAATTTTCACAATAATCTTTTCATGTAAGTATTACTATTATTCTCTAGTAAGTGGCAGGGGCTGGACTTAGACCCTGACAGATGGCTTCAGAGTCCATACTCTTAACCACTCACTATTTAAGTATAGGCTCTAGAGTCATTCTCTCCAGGTTCAAACTCCAGTTCCATTACCTACAATTGTGTGAATGACCTTGATCAATTGCTTGTCTCCTCTGAGTCTCCGTTTCCTCATCTGTATGCTGTATTGCTTATAACCTAACTTTGTCCAGTTTCTGGCACATAGTAAACTCTCTTCATATTTAGTTCTTATTAGCTGTTTGTTCATTAAAAATATATACTTGGAGTGCCTACCATGTTTTGTACCAGAAAGTGGGGAGAAGTGGGCATTTTCTCTTTCAAGAAGCACTTGTGGCTGGTTTGTCTCTTTTCTAAAATGGTATAGGTACTGTAATGTGTGGCCCTGAAGCTCATAGTTGATAGAAGATGTTCTATGTTTCCATCATCTCTCCTGCAGTGGTTAAGTCTGGAAAAGAGAGAATTTTGTCAGAGAAAGGAAGAATATCCCTGTTGTTTCATGTTGCAGGTCGCACATTTATGTCAGAGGAGCTAAAACAGCTTACTCCTTGATTGAAACATGACCACTGTCCATCTGGCAAGCTTTTTTGTCCTGTTTGACTCAGCTTAGACCTTTAGGAGAAAGTTATATGTGAAGCAGGAGGGGACAGTTAGCCAACCAATTCCACCAAATCAGCTCCGGCCATTAGGGAAATGATAAATGTGGCAGCCAGGTTATCCTCACATGACCACCCCAGTGTAGATTTTAAAGATTTTATTTTTCTGTTTTCTCCCCAAAGCCGCCTGGTACACTGTTGTGTACTTTTAGTTGTGAGTCCTTCTAGTTGTGGCATGTGGGACGCCGCCTTCAGCATGGCCTGAGTGGTGCCATGTCCGCGCCCAGGATTCGAACCGGCGAAACCCTGGGCCGCCTAAGCAGAGGGCGCGAACCTAACCACTCTGGCACGTGGCCACCCCCTCCCCCACCCAGTGTAGATTTTAAACTAATGCAAAAACTAAGTATGGAAACCTATTAGCAAGGAGTGGAGGGAGGGGAACACATGGCAAAGAAGGAATAGAGTATTCTGATAGAAAGTGAAAAAAAGAGAAAAAAAGAGAAGAAAATAGTTGTGAACAAGCCTTTATATTTTTCTCTAGGATGAAAATGTTTTAAACAGAAGATTGGCACATGCTCTGTTTGGTTATTCTAATAGTGCTATTCTGAGATATGTCTTCATTCCTCATATTTGTGTTTTTTACCAAGGGTCTGACAGATCTTTGTTCTTTCCCCCTTTACAGTCCTGAGGCTTTCTACCAATGCAGGCCAGTGGAAAGAAGCAGCTAGCAAGGTGACCCACGCATTGGTCAATATCAGGTAAGGAAAGAGAATTTATCTCTTTCAGAGTTCCTTGCCTCATCTTGTGGTTTATTGTACCTTTCTAAGTAAAATGTGTTGAACAGCAGTATTATTTTTAAGCCCCGATGTCTGTAGGAGTGGAAGACATTGTCGTACTTGATCAAGAAAAGCAGGAGTATATGAGACTTTCATTTTGTCGTATTGAAATAGCTCACAGTGCCGTTCTCTGAATTTTCTTACTGAGAGATGGTTGCAAGCCTTTTTCAGTCATCTTTGTTGCCAAAGTATTTTCTGTGTGTAGGCCATCTGAAAACTTTTTTCTGCCATTCTCCATGAGTTCAATGAATGACTCATGGGGATCTGGAACTTTGATGTTTCGCTTTACGTGGCTATTTCTATTTGTGGTAAATGGAGGCAAATGGAGCTCACGGGGCTAAGTCATTTTAGGTTCCTTATGAAACAGAAGGCAGTTACAGAGTGCTGTATGTATTGGATAAAATGGAGTCAGACATGGAGATGATTTAGGGTCTTGAGGAAATACCACACACTCACAGGACTGAGCTGTTTGTAGGTGGAGAGAATGTGCTCTCAATATTATGAAACCTAAAGCTGACTTTTTTACATTCCTTTCTCCCTTTGTGCCCATCATTTTTCCATTTTCTCAATAGTTATTAAATTGTTCTTGCAAACAATTGAAAAATTAACTTTGAGTAAAAGAGGCAAACCCAGCAGATGGGGAAACTTGATTTAGCTCCAGATGTAAGCCTTGCCAGACATTCCCAGTAATAGGAACACACATTTACAACTTGGTATAGATTCTAATGTGTGACATAGCTGAAAATCAGTGTTGATTTCTATATCTTTCTTTCTTTCTTTTTTTAAAGGTAAAATGTTTTGTTCCTACAGTAATTTACTACAGTGTTTGGCACATCTGGGAACAAAAGGAAAAGTGTGAAATGTGTGCAGTGGGAGGGCTGAGATGAGGGAGCATGGGGGTGAGATGTGCTAACAAGATTGCATTGAAGGTTGTTCTGCCTTCCCTGACCCCAGAGACATTTTGCAGCAAACACAGTTTTATAAATCTCACAAATAAATGCATATCTGCACCTAGAAAACCAGATACTGTAGTGAGGCCTTATGATAAATGTGGTTTTCTGTAAGAACCAGAAATTATAAACTACCTTCTCCCAAATATCCCTTTGTGACTTACGGGCAGTATGACAAATGTGGGTGTTTGAAAGAAGCACCAGATTCTGGGCTAGAGTATGAAGTGCATATGGGTATAATTTCTGTTGTGTTTATTTATTGATGTATTTACTTAGGCTTTCCAGGCAGCCCTTTTCATCTGGGGCCTGTTTCCTTGATCCACATTCCTTTATGCTTGCTTTTTCTCCTACCTTGTTGCTTTCCCTTTCAGCCGCTTCTGGCTTGATTGCTGTCCCTATTCTTCCCAAGAGCCATCAAATAGCTGATTTAAGCACGGTAGCCTGTCCTTTTTCTGAATAGCCCAGGAAAGACTGGGCTGAACTTTGAGTAGATGCCCGTAACCATGATCTCTTCTTTCTCTGTCAGGCCTATACCTTTATTTTCACTCCTCAAACTTCTTTGATGAATTTGCGGCAGAGAATAATTACATCATCTTCACTGTTGCTATAATGAATTAGACTAAGAGTATATGTCAAAAGTATTAAAAGATCCAGTCAGTTTTCTTTTCTTTTTGAGGAAGATTAGCCCTGAGCTAACATCTGCCACCAATCCTCCTGTTTTTTGCCAAGGAAGACTGGCCCTGAGCTAACATCCGTGCCCATCTTCCTCTACTTTGTATGTGGGACGCCTGCCACAGCATGGCTTGACAAGCAGTGCCATGTCCACACCCGGGATCCAAACTGGCGAACCCTGGGCTGCCAAAGCAGAACATGTACACTTAACTGCTGCGCCATTGGGCCGGCCCCCAGTCAGTTTTCTTAAGAGATCATGGGAAAGATTTGTTTGAATGTCACTTATCACACTAACGCCAGATGAAGGGAAAATATTGGTGATGCATACCTGCAAAAGTTTACTTTTTTTCCTTTCTGACATTTATTTTCACTTATTAAGTCCTAAACTTTGTGTTACTATTTCGTGTACTGTCTTCTTCAATCATCAAACTGTATAGAGTGTATTATAAACTTTAAAAAAATGTACTTTTTACCAATGGGGAAACTCATGTCTTGAAGATACTGTGAATTGCAGAAAGTCCCACAATTGTTTTGTGGCAAAGCTGTGAATTAATTATAGGTCTTCTAACTCCTAAGTCCAGAGTTCTTTCTTCTATACTATAATGCTTCCTTCTATAGAGTAGCATCAAAGGCTAGCAGAAAACTCAGCATGATGTATTGAAAGGAGCATGGAAATTTGAGTTAGAGAAACTGGATTTTTGTGTGTGTGTGAGGAAGATTGGCCCTGAGCTAACATCTGTTGCCAATCTTCCTCTTTTTGCTTGAGGAAGATTGTCACTGAGCCACCATCTGTGCCAATCTTGTCTATTTTATGTGGGATACCACCACAGTGTGGCTTGACGAGTGGTACTAGGTCTGTGCCCAGGATCTGAACCTGCAACGCCCGGGCCGCAGACACAGAGCGCGTGAACTTAACCACTATGCCACTGGGCCAGCCTGAGAAACTCGATTTTTTATTTTTGTCTCTACCACTTAATGTGTGACCTTGAGTAAGTTATTTAGCTTCTCTGGACCTCTTTTCACTAACTATAAAATGTTTCACAGGGAAGTGGTTGTGAGACTTATATAATGTAATGTATGTGAAAACATTTAGTAAACTTTAAAATACTGGTCATTTCATTTAACATGTCTTTAAGGTTCATCCCTGTTGCAGCATGTGTCAGAATTTCCTTCCTTTTAGGCTGAATTATATTTCCTTATATATATATATATATATATATATATGCCACATTTTGTTTATCTATTCATCCATTGATGAAACCCCAGGTGGGTTGTTTCTACCTCTTGGTTATTGTGTTTTTGGTTATTTGTACGTGGGTGTACAAATACTTGTTCAGTCACTGCTTTTTCACTTCTTTTGGGCATATACCCAGAAGTGGAATTGGTGGACCAGTTGGTAATTCTGTGTTTAATTTATTTAGGAATTGCCTTACTGTTTTTCAGGTTTTGCATTTTGAGACTTTCTTAGAATATTTCCTAAGTATGTCCTTATTTGTTCCTTCTGTACAAGTTAAGATGTTACCCTTAACCTTAAAAGATGTTTTGGTTTTCTTTGTAGTAGACTTCATGCTTTGAATGGGGGTGGTCCAGGGAGTTTTCATTTCTCAGAATTAGTCCTCTCTTAGCGGAGAGCAAAAAAATGGTATGCTTAAGAAGTCTGCATTCCACTGAGCCAACGGTAATGAGTTCTGCCTTATGCTCCTTTGCTTTTTTCTGAGAGTTTGTGTTATACATCCATGACACTATTAACTCTGAGTGGTTTAGAAAATAGGAGACTGTGTCAGAAAATTGAACCTGTGGTTTCCCAGGGATACTGTGAGATATTTAACTATTGACCATCAAGTTGATTATCAAGGAGAGTATATAAAGGCTTAGTAGCAAAATGGTGATGGTAGGCAACATTTACTTTTGTTGTTTATAAAGGTTATTTGTGCTGATCCCACACCTGGAAAGGATTTCTAAGGCAGAGTGAACAGCTCTTAGCCATCTCTCCTGTAGTATGTTCTTTGATAGCCATGGGAAGGGATTGGGTTGCATGTGAAATTTTCAGACACCTAACAGCTGGGAGGGCCTCTCAGACTGGTTTGCCAGTTGATGATGGCTGCAAGAAATGTTGTGGGATCTTCTGGGGTACACTGCATTTAATGGCAGCCCTAACATAGTGTCTCACTAGCAGGTGAAAGGCAGCAGAAAGACTGCAGACCTTTCTGCTCTTTAGAGTTTAGACTGTGACAGTGAAAATTAAAAGTACTTCCACATGCTTAGAGGCCTAAATTTGCTTACGTGTCGGTCTGTTTGCTTTTCACTTGTCTTTCATGGCTTAGTCATGTTAGTTCTTTAATTGTCAAAACTATTTGTGTTTAAACAATCTATCTCTCACTTCCTGTTTGATCCTTCAGAGATTCTTAAAATGCCCCTGCTTAGAACTGTTTTTATTGGCACACCTGATATCATTAATGTACAGGGCCCTGCGTGTGTTCCTCGCCATAGGAGGGTTGTTCTGTTGCTTTGCCACAATAAAAATAAAATATTATTGCTCTACCTTTAAAATTCACTTGGTATATTTGTTACTTCAGATGCCTTTACAGATCTATTGGTCTAAAAAGGAAAAATTCTCTGGGGGCCCATGTGCAGGGCTGGAAGGAAAACATTTGGGAAGTTTTGCGTGGAGACTTCTATGCTAAATATTTCCTGCCACCACTTAGCAGGCTACCCTAGTGAGGTCCTGTACGTTAGAAAGAGGTCTGCTGACTATTAGGCTAATTAGTCAAAAGAGAAAAAGAAAAACGTTAGACTAAAATCTGACTGACCTTCATCCAACCAAACAACTTTCAAGGTAAGAAATTTGAAGCCCTTAATGAATCTCTTCAAGTTAACATCTTAATGCTTTTCACTTAATGAGCATTTTGTTAGCACCAAGTTCACAATCCTGTTCTCTGATTGTTCACAGAAGTAGTGGCTGAATCACTTGCAAATAGTTTTTTCTCCTGATCCGTAATTTTCTTAAGGTGGATAAAGTTTGAACTCTATGATTAATATATTATTTTTTTTGGAATTTGGAATTTTATTTGGAATGCATTAAGCTAAAGTTTAGTTTTTCTTTGAGAATGTCTTGTTAGATATTGCTATGGTTAGTGACAAGCCTGGGGTTTGGAATGAGAAGCCTGGGGTTTGGAATGAGAAGTTAGTGCATTTCTTTGTAAGTCTCTAAGTGTTCACCTAGTGAGTTTGCCTCCTGTTCCTGTTTGCTCTTTGGTCATTTTGTTTCAGTGTTAAGGTTGTCCCCTTCCCCACACCCCT